CACCCTCAGCGCGTGCAGTCATTACCCCACCTGACGGGCCTTCGGCTGTCTACGACTCAATGCCGCGTACGACAGGCGAACAGCACCACCCAACGGACGACCGCACTTACAGTCTGCACTCCCACTAAAAACAGCACCAGATTACACCACCGCCCAGGCAGTTCATAGAAAGACAAAATGTGACAGTGAAAAATACGTAGGAGCAATGGAGCAAGTTACAAGTAAAGTCGTTCTTAACCGCACCTACGCTCACATAGCAATCGCTGCACCGACGAGCTTAATATCCCTGTCATACAACTTTGAAAGCTCCTTCTCCAACTAAAAAAGAAAAATCGCAACAAACTTGTAAGGACTGCACAGAGTCTAAGCTCGACTATAATCTCAGGCTTATCTTTTAGGTTAAACAACGAACTGACATAGGTAACAAGCTGTCCACGCTCTTGCAGACACTGAGTCATTTCGTTGTGCAGTTTGTCCAGTTCTTCGCTCGCCTGCTGTACAGAGGCTTTCAATTCGGCGACACGAGCACGCGACCGATTGACCTGCTGATGCAGGTCTTGTATCATGCAGATGAGACGCTCCAGATAGCTTGGCTTGAGACGCAACAATGAGAGATGAGTTATTGTCCTAGAGAAGGAGCACAACCAACTTCCACTTCACAAGGCAAATTTACTAAATCAGAGCCGAACAGGGGAATGTTGATGGAAATGAGGTCACTATGTACCGTAAAAGTGAAATCACATTGTCCAAAATGCATTAACTTTTGATCTCAACTTAAGAAAACTATCCACATGGTATGAAATCTAACTTTGGTCAAGGGAGAAAAATAAGCAAGGACTCACTCGTTAGTTATCATACTGAAAGCTCTCTGAACAGCTGAGGACATGGAATCAACATCTTCAAGAGTCTTTGACCTAACTTCGGCAGGCGCGTCCTAGATTCAAATAGCGTACCGTTGATGAGAAAAATGCACCACACATTAGTTATTTTCACCACCCATTATGCACTTTTGTTTAGACTTATTGAACGACAGCTAGACGAGCCCACAGAATCCCATTTCTTGAACACGAAGTTGTATTATGTACAAATTAAGAGTTATCATTTAAGGACCCTATCGACTACAAATAAGGGCTGCAAGAAAAATATACTCCTATAGACAGAGATGATCTTAAAGAAACATTGAAAAACCCACAAGCATTATTTGTTGGTAGATTGGCGCTATTGAATCAATGTTCAGACCACCAGCCTTCTGCTTCTTCACCTCAGGCAAATGAAAATCAGCAGCTTGAAATTCAATAAGATTTTCTCTGATACGAAGCAGGAAGGCAGATAACTCTTCTAGATCATTTATGAGGGCGTTTCGGCCCATCGTGGAGTCCAGCAGAAGACGCGCATCGGCCCCCGTAGCCACCGTTTTCGCTTTGCTAGCTGGCTGACTTGAAACATCTTCATCTGCAGCTTTTGACAAGTCGACAATGTCGATACCACTGAGCAAGTCTGTGCCAAAGTCAATGTCAGCTAAGTCAGTCTCGCCCTCCGCGTCCAGATCTGCAAACTGAAGGGATGATATGATGCCAAGCTAACCTGTCGAACAGGCAGGGGTACTATTTATCAGAAACGCACATCAATTTCTTGGTCTTCATTCAGAGCTTCTGCTGCCTCAGCTTCGATTGCCTTTTTCTCCAGTTCAATCATTTTGAGCAGACAATCATCGCTTTCACCCACACTACTTGGAGCATGACCTGTACGCCACTGATAGACAGTGACATGACCAGAATTGATTAGCAATCGGAGGGTTGGGCAGACCTGACGACTACCTTTGTTATCACTACTACACTTGACATATTATTTACGCTCACTTGCTCGAGTTAAAGTGGGAGGTAAAGTTCATGTAGAAAGCCACTACAGGTTCAAGGAGTTTCAGGCTTTCGACGTAATCACTTAGGATACCCGGAAGAGTGCTGGCTTTTTCCAGAAGCTGAAGGCGTGCGTGCTCGTCCTTGATGTCGAACTCCTTACAAAATCGTTCAAGTTCAAATTCTTTGGAGTGCTGGGTCGCAGTAAAATCTGTTACTTTACGCTGCAGATCCTGAACAAAGAAGCATGGTTAGTAACCATTCATATGTACATTTATTAATTTTTGACGATCCGCAATAGCAGACTTGCACTTGGGCAGGAGGAAACAGACATCATTCAGTCGCTCAGCTACTTCAGCTAGAGAGATTGACTGTGAGTCCACTGAGTTACCTTACCAAGATTGATGTGCTCTGTTTCGTAGCGTGACACAATATCCCGCCAAGTCTAAATTTTGATTTCAATAATTTCGAAATACGAAATTACCCGAACGGAAGCACTTGCACGTCCAAAAATGTCCTTTGCTGTGTCTGTTTCTTCCAAGTATTTAAGGACGTCCAACGCGTAAAAATACCGAACTAGAATGCAGCAAATTTGGGAAAGAACGAAAAAATTCCCCACAGACAGCAAGATATTCGATTTACCGTTCCCATTTTCAATGTGCTTGTTATAAAACTTCCAAGTAACCTGTGACATTGTGAGAAATGCAAGAAAATAACTGTACATAACTCGAGACGGACAGAATAAAGACCCAACAAAAGACCCACAAGATCCGACAAAACACACTTATTTATAACCGCAAAAGCGTCATGGGGATAAAACGAGCTGTGGCCCAATTGTACCTGGCTTGAGTTCAATACTTTTGATCTTTTCGGGCGAGGATTGTGCAAACTCATCAATCTTCTTCGAGATGTATTCCATGGACTTTATATAGTTCTTGGATATAACCTGGCGTTCGATAAGCCATGCTATGGGGAGGGATGTGAAACAACACCTCTTACGAATCAGCTTTTGAGATTGCACAGATATCGCTCCAGGCATACGTTTTGACAGATTAAACAGAGCGTCTTCAGATTCGATTGTCAAAACAAAACCTTTAAAATTCTCAGACGATTTAGTTACTAATAAAAGGTAAATAAGATACTGACTTT